TGTTGCTCAGAAAACATGCAGAAAATGGAGGTGGATTGGACACTTACTGAGGAGACAAGTGAATGACATCGCGAGCCAGTTTCTCTCGAGTGGAACCAGAATGAAGTGACAAATTGGGTTTCCGATGGTGATGTCATGGAGATGGCGTGAGGAGGAAATGAAAGCTTATCAGAAGTCATGGGGTCAGCTAACGGAAACTGAAGAGAACAGGACAAAATGGCGATGTGATGACCAAGGACTGTTTCACTTGAAAACCAAGGAAATAAGAATAGTAATAATACACGGTAAAAAATACATATCATCGACCCCTACCTTGCACACTCAACGCGAAGACAGACAAATGCTCATCTCGCTAAATTTATTATATATTATATAACAAAACTGTTCATTAAAGTTAAGTGAAAGGAGGAAAACTGAATGGGTGCTGCATTGTCTAGGACATTAATGAATACGGTGAAACAGAACATTACAGAATTCAAAGCTATTGTTGGATATCGAAACAACAATGAGAAGTTTAATTTATTCCCAGTACAAATAAATACAGTATCAAGGTCAGATAATGACCATCTCTTGAAGGGGGTGACACCTGGACAAAGAACATTTACAGTTTGGTTAACCTGTAACGCGAGTGTTTGCTAGTATCAGGTAATGCTTCACGATCAGCTAACACCTACCTACAGGACGAGTGGTAAACTTCAGAGGAATTTCCGCTATTTAATCGCAGAACGGATATACAAACTCAGAAATCCACCAAAAATAGTGTCTGGTGAAATTGTAGTCAAATGATACAAAAACCAATAAGATGATGTGATGCACCATCAATTAACAGTTTGAAAAAACAGCTTTACTAATACATACATTCATTCATTCACTGCCAACATATCTGAATGTAGAAAGAAAAACTACATAAATCTACAGCCACATAAAACATGTTTATTTCAAGTGGAATGTTTGGCATTCTGAAGATTGTCGACCAATAAGAATATATTAAAAGTGATGAAAACTATATTATTAAAGATAAGATTATTCACCAAAGCAGAACCCAGACAACAAATATTTGTCAGCATGAAAATGCAAGAGATAGTCTTCAAGCAATTGAATAGATGATTGAATATCACTTTTGAAATCGAAGGGGACCGATCATATGGCTAAACCAAATACCGTGACAATGAAGTACATAGATTTGTTTTCCCACTTAATTGTACAACTACCTGAAAAAGATAACGATGTATCACACAACTCGTGTTTGATATGAAATTCAAACTACAAAACATTTCTTTGTAAACATGATGTAGTCAGTTAGCTGTACGAAATAAAAACACGAATAGCAAATAATATACGACAAATTAGAAAGAAATCTACTAAGTTTGTGTGCGTGGTAATGAAATTAACAAGGCAGGATACGTATACTGTGAAGACTACTGATACCACTTGAGTCCTTATGCCACTCTTATTATGGTGGATTTTCATACTTATTTCAATAAGTTACTGACACTAATACAGCTACGTCACATTACATACTCCAATGTAAATACGAAAACCTGCGCTGAAGATGCTGTCTAGAAGGACGACAAAAGCTTCGCAATTGAATCAACCAGCCCCGAGAACACAACAGAACAAACGACTACTGCTAATTTGTGAATTAATTCTACCGTGAGCTGTAATAAAATAAACGCTTGTATCAGTTTAGAGTTACTTAGCAAAATAATAAGATATTACTTTATTTCTCTGATTCTTCACAACTGCATACAACCTAAATCAATTTGAATGTTCATGTGCAAACTAGTCGCAGAGTGTTTCAACTTAGATTTTCGATTTTGTCGATGGTCATTGAGGGCTTTTAGGTGGGAGATTAAGTGATGCAGAGGCTATCTGAAGCTCCGTAGGTGGATGTATTTTGCGTTAGGATGAATTTGCAATGTAAGATCTGCTGTCCAGTTTTGAGTTAAACGGATTTTAGCGAGTTAAAGGAAATTGATGATATTGTCCTCCTAGGTAAAGGTGGTGAGGAAATACAGAATCTTCTGGGCACCTACAGGGGAATTCTTCAAGGGTTCAGCTTGCTATTCGCTCCCGTCAAATGTAAGGTTACGATGCAAAATTAGTCCGCATCGACTCCTATTTGAAAGGTGAAATCGACGTGGTTAAGCGTGCTAACCGCTTCAATTATTTAGGAGGCTGAATTAACCCTAATTGATTGATTGCAAACGAAACCTCAGCACGAATATAAGACTTCAGCAGCGTTTTCTAACATATATCATCCTTGGAGTTGACATGGCATTCGCCTGTCAATTGAAGGAAGTGTGTTTTACACCACCGCTGTATCCATTTTCCGTTATGCTTGCGAGATACGGCCAGCCAAAGAAGATGAATAGGTTAACTATCATTGACAGATTCTAGAACATAGACACACTTTTCGGCGTCCAACAATTGTCATATTTCTTGACTTGAAGGCGGCCTTCGACTCCGTGGATCGAAAGGTACTATGGCAATGTCTGACTGTGAAGGGAGTGCCAAGAAAGTACATTGCACTAATCAAGGCACTCTATTCAAACTCACGTAGTCGTGTAAGGGCTTATGGGGAATTGTCATCTGAATTGGTAACAACCAGTGGTGTCCGACAGGGATGTCCACTCTCCCCATTTCTGTTTAACTTCGTCATAGATATGCTAACGGAAGTATCCTTAACTGAACGTAGTGACTTAGGAATCGACTTATTACCAGGGAATAATCTTATGGACTTAGAATATGCAGATGACATAGTCCTGTTAGGGGAGGATGCTGAAAAAATGCAGAGTCTTCTGAACACCTTGAGCAGCAATCTTCGTATGTTTGGCATGCGATTCGCCCCTGCAAAATGTAAGATGCTGCTACAGGACTGGACCACGTCAACCCCTAACTTAGTGATAGGGAGTGAAGTGATAGAACATGTTGACCACTTCACCTACTTGGGAAGTTGTATTAGCACCAACGGACTGATTGGCGATGAAATCTCAGCACGGATCCGAAAAGCTCGAGCTGCTTTCGCTGACTTACACCATCTCTGGCGTAGGCGTGACATCCGGTTATCAACCAAGGGACGTGTGTACTGCTCACCAGTTCGCTCCGTCCTTCTCTATGGCTCTGAAACATGGCCAATACGCGTTGAAGACATGAAAAGGTTAACTGCTTTCGATCATAGATGTCTGCGATCCCTGTCTCACGTTAGGTGGTTTCACAAGATAAGTAATGTTGACGTTAGGCGTAGAGTGTTGGGCAAACAGGGAAAATCAATCGACGAGGCTATAAAGTTACATAGACTAAGATGGCTAGGTCACGTGCTGCGCATGCCTAACCACCGCCTCCCCCGACGGGCATTGCTAGCTGACATAGGTTCAGGTTGGAAAAGAGCCAGTGGTGGCCAAACAAAAACATGGCATCAATCCATGAAATCCTTGACAGTTAAACTGAGTCAGGTAGGGAGATGCAGACTCCCGGGTTGGGGTCCTCGGGACTCTAGGAATCAATGGCTGGAGACAATAGGTGACATGGCTCAAAATCGTTGTCAATGGCCAGCGCAGATGTATTCAGTCTCTGTAATCTTTCATATTCCTTTCTACCATTACCCATTCTGTTCCACTCTCATACTTGTCAAACTCTATTGATTCTCTCCACTCATCTTCTTGTCTACCTCAGTGTGCTATTTGGAACGTGGCAACTCGAACTGCTGCACTTCGGTGCCAAGTTCTATGTTGAATCCAGACAGACAGACAGACCATATGTATTCGCGTTTTATCTGTCCATGGGTACGATATGGTGAGTAATATTAAGGTTAGGCGTAGCGTGTTAAGTAAGGAGTGTAAAGCGATCGACTGAAAGGGAAACGAGACATCGCGAAGGCGAACTAGCGATGTTGACTAACAGTATCAGATTGGAAGTGAGTTAGCTGTGGTCAAACCAAAACCTAACACCAATTCATGAAGTTGTTTTGAGTCACGTAGGGAAGTGTAGGCTGTCTGTTTAGAACGTTCGGGATGCTTAGAGCTACTTCATGGGTTAACCACCCAAATCGCCTTTTCCACCCAGCCCATGACTAGCAAACTGTGAACATTATGGGGAATACCTGGGACGACGTTCGCATCACCGCGGCGAGCGTTCTAAAACGACAACACAGTGCTAGACGATCTCCACTGTATTCAAACACACCGCTAAACTTGTCTGGTATTATTATGCCATGGGGTGCAAGAAATTCTATGGAGGTAGAGATGATTGAACATACAAAGGCACTTCGTGTACTAAGCCTGCTTTTATAAGCGTAGAGCAGGACTGCACATACTGAAACATTTTAAGTGTGACGTAAGGAATCCAATTTAATGTTGCAGCTGTACTAAAGGTGGTTAGTGCCAGTGCCAGCCTTCAATACATATTAGATCCTATACGTCAGGCCTCCAGAATTTACAAAACAACTCAACCGTACGAATGTATAGACTGCCTTTAACAGCTCACTTATAATGGTGAGTGTGACTACCGACTCCGGAGAGTATTGCACAAATACTCCACACTTAGTTGGAGCGAATCTCACATATCATTTACTGTTGAAACCCTCAGTCTAAAGATCAGATGTTTACATAAAGGCACCAGAAGATATGGAACGCCAATATGCTCGGATAAGATTAAGCGAAAGCAGCACAACTTATTTTAATCCACTTCGGGATAAAATAATTCAAATAATGAAGTCACAGCAACAGTCATTGAAGTTGGTTTTTTGCAGGTAGGTTATCAATAAACAGTAAACGCAAACACAATTGGTGGAACTAAAAACCACTAGATTTAACCTCTAACCAGCTATCGGAATTAATTTACAAACTAAGTGGAAATATGCCATATGAACAAGAAATGAAGTGAACAACAAACACCACTGCAAAAATGAAATGTTGCACAGAAAGGCAATGTAAGATAGGTGTATCTAGCATGGACTAACCAACCGTAGCTAATTTACAGTAAAGGAGCATTAAGCTTACCATCAGTAGTATTATCCCAGTAACACGAACTAGCAGTATGCAATCCAGCACCACTCTTTTGCATAATAATACAGGTAACTAAACAGTTATGTAAATTAACCGAACCAACCAATGTATTTGAACGGTTTTCCAAGTTTGGTAAGCTGATTAAGGCATTGTTCAATTACAGTTGACGTCCACAGTTGTACCTTGCTTTGAGAATAGGAACTGGACCCTACAATAGCTTCTATGACCTAAAAAATCCATGTTGAAAATGCATTCTCAGAATCTTTCATACCTCCTTGACAATATTCTTTACTTCTTCTGGAACAAAGGTAGTCTGTTCTGTTCAAAGTTAGTCTGGCTTGGGATTACCTCTTCAGATGCTTGAAAGTCATCCATTCCTCACAAAACCCGAACGCCAGGTGGTCGCTAAGGGCAGTTTTTAATTAATCAAGGTAGTGGGATTGATGCAATTAAACAAAGTTTCAATCGACAATCTTCAGTTTGCCATAAGTTTTATTATTTATTAAGATCTGTGTTTGAGTAAAGGTTTCAGCGTGAATCGGCTAAATATACGGTAGCCCAGTGGTTAGGACTCTCGCCGACCATGCACATGGTCTGGGGTTCGATCCCCTTCTGACGCACACCTAATATCTATGGTCGGCCTGCGAAATTTGGGCTACCGATATCTATGCTGAAAATTCCATACTTGTACCAAAAACACAGTGTGGAATCAAACCGTAATCAAAGAAAAATAACAAAATATAAATTATCAAAGCTACCCTGTGGATATACTGTAAGTGGACTTAGAATTCTAAGTAACCAATTATTATCATTTTGTTATTGTTCCCTTGGGTTCCTAGTGGAACATAGGGCTTCAACTGCACGTCTCCACTTGCTTCTGTCTTCTGCTGCGGTACTTTTCACCTGCATCCATCTTAGTTCATACTGTTTTAACTCCTGTTCACACGATCTCCTCCATGTCACACTTGGACGTCCCACTCGCCGCTTCCCTTTAGCCCTGGCTCCACACGAGCAATGGCCTGACGCGCGCGCAATGCCACCCAGCGGCCTCCTCAGCGAGTGCCTAATCCATCTTCACTTTCTCCTGCATATTTGTTGGTTGGCGATTGTTTTGTTTGTTCCCATAGTTTCTTGTTGGTGATTCTTTCCGGCCCGGCCATCTGATCTTCAGTATAGATCCAGCGAAGACAGTTGTTGTTGATAAAGGTAGGTCTGCAACAGACTGTTGGAAATATTTTTTGTGACCCGCCCGCCAAGTTTTTGATCCGTATAGAAGAACTGACTTTACGTTTGTATTGAAAATCCGACAGGATTTTGTTGTTGATGCTGAATGACGAATATTTCCAGATTGATTTCAGGCTGATGAATGTGTTTCTCGCCCTCCCGATTCTGGCTCCATTTGATATCCTCGTCCGTTCCGACTTCCTGTAGTTGAGACAATGCTCCCTAGATAAGTGAATGAAGTAACCTCTTTCAAATCCCTCCCGTTGATGGTGATTGACGCTGGATGTTGCTGCTGCTGTTGTTGTTGTTGGCTGGTTATTTTCATAACCTCCGTCTTGTCTATGTTCACCTGAAGTCCTGTCTTAGCCGGCTGCTTCTTCGACCAGTCTGTCGGTTCGCGCTTGTAAGTCTTTGGTTATGTGTGGCGTCAAACATAAATCATCGCTGCGCGAAATCCAGGTCTTCTAGGTTTTTCACGTCAGTCCAGGATATCCCTGTCTTCTCGTTTCCTACAGTCTGACGCATAATCCAGTCCACCACGATTAGGAATATCGTTGGTGATAGTAAGCACCCTTGTCTGACCCCTGTGTTTATTCCAAACGCCTCGCTGAGTTTTCCGTTGTGGATCACTTGGCAGGTGCCGTTGTAGTACAGCTGTTGAATAAGGTTGATGAATATTTGGGGTACACCATAGTACTCGAGTAATTTCCAAAATACTTCGCGGCCAACGCTGTCGAAGGCCTTTTCAAAGTCTATAAAGTTGAGGTAAAGGCTTGATTGATGGCCATTCCATGCTGTAAATGCAGTTGAAGATTGAACGATCAATTCATTGTTGTTTGCTCAAACTCAACTTCCCCAATTTTCGCGGAGGCATCAATACGACAGTCATCGTCTCATCGGTCGCTGTTCAGAAAGAAGTCAGGAGAAAACCGTCAGAAGTAATATTGTGATTTATTATTGTAATATTTGTTCACAGACCTTAGTGGAAACATTTTTTATATGTTGGTGTAACAATAAAGAATGCTCGAGTCAACAATTGGTGTTTTGGTTTCTTCGTCCGTTATTACTAAGCGTTTCTGAGAAACTTCAAGGAACAGCGTGAGCCCGAGCGAAGCAAGAGCTGGGCATTAACGGTTTACGAGACGTGGCTGACACATGCTTTGTACTGTGATGGTGATGTGTAGAGTTGCAATTTGGTCAGAACATGATTTGCCTTTCTTGAATCCGGCTTGTTCTGGTCGGAATTCTGTCCCCAGTGCTTCCTTTAATCTCTCCAGGATGACGTGACTCAAGAGTTTACTTGGCGTCGACAGGAGCATGATTCTTCGCCAGTTCTTGCAGAGTGAGGCCTAAGTCGCCCTTCTTTGGTAGTTTCACGAGGTGACCTTTCCTCCAGTCAGTAGGCACCTTTCCCTCCTTCCTGACCTTTGCAATAATGGAGTCAGCATTTCTGCTGTAGTTTCTGGGTCCGCTTCCAATGCTTCAAGGGGGTATTCCATCTGGTCCGGCTGCTTTTCCAGCTTTCAGAAGACTTCAGCTCTCGTTGGAGGATTGGTGTCAACTTGCAGTTGTGTGCGCACTGTTGTTGGTATTTCTGGACGGGTTGCAGGTGATAGTCGGTTCAAGAGTCCTTTGAAGTGATCCTTCGATTGTTTAACCTATCTTTCTTCCTTGGTAATCGGGTTCCCTTGCCTGTCTTTTATAGGTTTCACTTGTGTTGATTTCTTCCCGGATAGAGACTCGGTTATCTGATATAGTGTCCTCAGGTCCCTTTTGCCTGCTGCCTTCTCAGCTTCAGTGGTCAGATTGTCATAGAGTTCTGTTTTGTCCTTCCTAGCACTCTTTTTCACTTCTTTGTTCACTGCTGTGTAAGTTGAGCTCAGCGTCTCTTTCTCTCGCCCGTCTTTGCATTGAATCATTTTCTCTTTCACCGTTCTCTCTCCTCTATTAGCTTCCAAGTGTCCATTGATAATAATAATTTTTCGCTTTATTCCAAAAACAGTACTAATGATACAGCAAGGAATTTTCAGCATTCAGTGCAATATTGCATCTATTTACTAAATAACGACAAAAAAATTAAAAATACACATTACATAATAGTAATAAAACGATTGTTATAGCAGCTACATAGCAAAATACTGTATGCCATACGGAGAAAATATGCATAAAGTACAAAATTGTGGTAATAGTAGTAATATCAACTAAAATAAAATAGCAGAGTAACAATTAAACGATAGAAAGGGTGACACCATATAATACAGAACGATGAACAAAGAAAGGCCTGATTCACTGTGCTAATTACATAGTAACTTGTAAGTTTCACGTCTAACAGAGTCTTCATCACATAAAGTACGGGCTAAATAGGGTATTGTAAAATTTCTATACTTAGTGGTACGGGCATATAACTTTTTATATTGACTTCTCGTCCTACCTGTTGTCTGTCTGTTTTCGACATAGAACTTTGCACAAATGTGCGGATGTTCAAGTCGCCACACTCCATGTAGCACACATAGCAAGAGAAGAAAGTCCAAGAAAAGCACAATAGAAACAGTGAGCAGAGGGGTGAGACAAAGGAGTAATAACGAAGAACAAAACAGTTTCATTGGAGATCATAAGTCACAAGGAGTGGATGCATCTGCGCCACTGAGAACGATTTTGAGCCATGTAACCAATTGTTTCCAACCATAGATTTTTACCGTCCCGAGGACCCCAGCCTGGAAGTCTACACCTTCCCACGTGGCTTAGACCAACTGTTGTGGATTTCATTGACTGGTGCCAAGTTTTTGTTTGACCGCCGCTAGCTTTTTTCCAGCCTGACCCTATATCCGCTAACATTGCTCGTCGAGGGAGGCGATGGCTTGGCATGCGTAACACATGTCCTAACCATCTCAGTCTTTGTAACTTCACGACTTCGTCGATTGATTTCCCCTGTTTACCTAGAACTCGACGCCTAACCTCAATGTTCCTACCTGTTGAGATACAAGGGGATAGTTGTGAATAAAGGGGGTGCAGAGGGTCTGACAGTACAGCCTTTGCCCATTTTGTACAAGTATTTATGTGTCTCTTGACTATAGTATTGGCGAGCTCACGCAGTGGTAGACCACAAGCCCTACTCAGAGCATTTAATACTCTTCGTAATATGATATAATCTTTTTTGAGAAGCCCAGGAAAGATTAATGGAGAGCAATAGAGTACAATAGGTAAAATACAGGAGTTTAAAAATTGCAAAACTAAAGGTTGGTTGATACCTGATTGTCTTAACTTTTTAATGTAGAAGGTAAGACGAAACATTTTCTTAGAGATAGATAAGATATGGGATGACCATGAAAGGTCAGAGGAAAAACTAATCCAAGGTATTTAATGCTTGATTTGGTTTCAATTTCCGTGCCATCTATGCTACAGGGATCATGCGAGTTAACTAGTTCAAGTAAGTCACGTCGATGCTTGAAAGTAAAGTCAAGCGCCTGACATTTGGAAGGATTTAATATAAGACCATTTGACTTGGACCAGTTGTTGATGTCCAACAGAAAGCTATTAAGTTTGGAGCTGTCAGACTCGGAAGTGATAGGCAGTGATACAGTCAGATCATCTGCATATTTGACAAAGTTAGTTTCGTTTGAATGAGGAAGGTCATGTAGGAAGAAAGAAAAAAGAAAAGGAGAGAGGACAGCACCTTGTGGAACACCGGATTTTGTAAGCGAGGTAGAAGAAGATTTGCCGTTATATACAGTATACTGCATTCTATCAGAAAAATAGGAATGCAACCAACTCTTAGCCCAGGATCCTGTTTGTGTCAACGATAGCTTATTTAACAAAAGGCCCCTAGGTACAGAGTCAAAAGCAGATGTGTAGTCTAAGAAAGCACTACGAACATATTTAGCACCTTTGTCTAAACAAGAGACAACATTGTGATATAAGACAACCGCAGCATCCAAGGTACTTCTACCATGTTTGTATGCAAATTGTTTAGGATCATTAAAAGGTTTCAAAGCGGGTTCAAGACGAAGTAAAAGTAATTTTTCCATCAATTTTAAAAAGGGGGAAGTAATTGCAATAGGCCGAAATTTAATATCAGAACCAGAAGATGGTTTTGGTATAGGGATAATTTTAATGTTTTTCCATGCAAAAGGTAGAACGTTACCGGAAAAAGA